ACAAAACATTTATACGTCCACACCTAGAGTACTGCATCCAGTCCTGGTCTCCCTACTTCAGTAAAGACATTGAGCACATGGAAAAAGTCCAACGAAGGTGGCAGTAGTATATGGGTTAAAAAAACGTCAAGTACGAGGACCGGCTGAAGTTTTTAGGATTACAATTTTTACATACCAGAAGACTAAGAGGCGACCTAATAGAATCATACAAAATCATGACAGGGAAATATAAACTGAATCCAAACACTTTCTTTTGTCCAGCCTCAAAAACATCACTAAGAGGAAATAACATGAAACTATATAAACAATGGTCCAGACTACAGGTGCGACAAAACTGTTTCAGCCAGAGAGTGGTATCTTGTATCTTGTATCTTGGCTCCCTCTCTTGTATTTCACAAGGCACTCGACTACATCGAAGTGCGGGGATTATCTAGAGAAAAAGAAGATTATTGCCGCCTCTAATTCTCTAAATATTAGTGTTTCGAATCACCAGAATTTTCCGCACATAAACTAACTCTGGTTTCAATAACACGTGGTTGGCCCCTCTCCAGCCGTCTATTTGTTCTCCATCCTTATATCTATTATAGCTATCACATTTATATAAATGTTCCATGTCCTCTTTCATATTCTTATTACATCGATTACACCTGTCGTCACTGTAGTTACTTTTAAAGTAACCTTTGAGCTCAATCATGCAAGTTTTACATTTAAATGCAAAACACGAGTCGGCAAATGATTATTCTTTCATATATTCCTTCAATCCATGTTTCAATGTTTATCATCTTCATTTTTGTTTTTCCTTTGGTTTTCATTTTATCTCTTGTTATTACACTTTTTAAAATAGCTTGTTTTACTTGTTTTTTCCAGGCTTTCTTTGTTTTTATTCCTATGGTTGAGAGTGATATTCCTAAATCGTAGTTGTCTAAAATTTCCGAGGTTTCGTTTGCCCAATTTTTTTCTTCCTCTTTAGTCTGTTGTATGTACTCTTTTCATTAATCTATTATTTTCCAAATTAACTATAAATTGTAGAAGCATGAGTTTTTTTTGTAATTTATCTTGTCTAATATCGGTAGAATACCTAGCTCTATTCAAAGAGCTTCTAGCGGTGTTTTACTGTGTGCTTTTAGAATTTTGCGTAAGCACTCATTTTGGAAGTCTTCTAACATTTTTCCTTCTTCCTTGGTCAGGTTGGTCCAAGTTTCACTGTTATTTAAGAAGGCGGGTAGCACCGTGCACTCGTATAGTTTTACTCTCGCTTCTATCGTATATTTTCCATAGTTTTGCTCATCAGTCAATGATATAATTTCTCTCATTATGTATCGGCATTTTTCCGTTCGGGCTTTAATCATATCTGTATAACCTCCTTTCTCGTTTAGTAAATCTCCTAAGTATGTGTATTTAGAGCATTTTTTACTTACTTGGTTACCTAGTAGTACGTCTTTCTCCATCTTATCTTTGTTTCCAAATTTAACTACCATTATATTGGTTTTATTCATATTAAATTCTAACCTTTTTGATTCGGCTAAACTTGAACACGCTTGTGCTATTTTAGCTATCGTTTTGTGGTCCCCAATTCCCAGAATGTCGTCCATATATAAAAGTGGACCAATTTCTATATTATTGCCATACATATATATACTGATTTAGTTAAATTATTTATATGATCTAAAGTCATACAACATAATATGGGTCCTATAATAGTTCCCTGGCAAACTATCTCTTTTGTTTCGAATCTCTCTGTTTCACCTACCGGTGTTTTAGCGGTGATTAATGCCCTTTCATTCATTTTAAAGATTAAGTCCCAGCAGGGGCCCCTCAGCCCTCTGTACCAAAGCTCCACCATCCAAGCTCCAAGCTTTAAGCCAAAGGCTATCGAAACATTTTTTGATGTCTCCAAACAGTAGACCAATGTTTTTCTTTTGTTCCCTATGTTTGTCAATTATCCCTCTCAGTACAAATAAATTGTCTGTTGTGCTGTAACCATTTTTACCCCTACATTGGTTTTTGCAAGCATCTAAGGTTTTATGTTTATGTTTCCATATATCCATTTTCAACTATCTTGCTTATGATGTTTGTGAGTAAAATACCTCTCGTGTTATTTAGGTCTCTTATTGAACCTTTTCCTTTATACACAGACTTTATTGACATTGAATTCCGCTGTATTGGTGTCATTGCTCCTTGGAGTAGTGAATTCACAATTACTTTCAATGATGTTATTATTTCTCTGCCTCCACTAATCAGACATTCGTTTACCATCCCTTGGTTATCTCTAGCTTTGTTGCATTTTAGCGTATCAATTACTTGCTGAATTTCGTTATTGTCGGTATTCTCTTCTATTATTCTTTTATTTAGGGTTCTTATTCTTTGGAAAGATTTCTCTAATGATTCATTAATTCCAAGTTCCATCTAATTTTTGGGGGGTTTGGTTCTTAAGAGTTCTTTATAATACTTGGCGTAAGCTTGCTTTATTTCGTCCGCCTTTTCTAGGTTAGTGTTAGGATCATCTCTCTTGGCTAAACAGGATGCCTTCATTTCCTTGCTTGGTAGCATTCTTTTACGTATTTTCCAGAAACCGCCCGAATTTATCCTTCCGTTTCTTTAGTTATCCTAATTGCATGTAGAGTTTCTCTTTTCGTTCCACTTGTTGTTGTACTCCTATTCTATTGTTTATTATTCTTATTCTTTCACTTATCAAATTTGTCTGGTGGTTATCGTTTTGTTTGGCTTTACTCGAGATTTTCTTTAGGTGTCTTTTAATTTCAAATAGATTTTTAATTTCCTTACTTAACCAGGGGCGACGTCTTTCTCTCGGCTTGGTGAAGCAGTAAGTGGTGTAGCCACAAGTTCCCTTCTCGCTTAACACTACGTTGGCGAGAGGGTCACAAGCCGGCGCAACAGAATCGCGTTTGGCATGACGTGCACTGCTATTAAACGTAAAATTATCTAACTTTTTATGATTCTAACCGCTTCGCTGTACTTCCACGCCTCGATTTATTATATGTGCGCTATCACTGAGTATGTATTTACGTGTCAGCGAGCAATTATTAGAATTGATAAGATAAAAACTCAGAACAAAGCCGCCATTTTCCCATAGATATCCCATCATACGTAGCAAAAAATCTGAAGTTCATTCAGTAAATAATAGTCTTCACGCATGCGCAGTAGTACAAACAGAGACATAAGAACATTCAGTATGGCGTTATGACGTTTAAAAGTAAAGCTTTTCGAAATTATCTTATTTTAAAGTGTATTTCGATGTAAATAGTAATTAAGAAGTGTAGCGATAGTTGCAACATGTAATAGGTGAGGGTCAAATGTGGTAATACGATTGTTTTATTTACGAAATTTTACGAAATTCGGAGTTTGTTTTCAAGCAAGCCATCTTGGAAATATGACGACCTGTGATTGGTCGAGTAGATGTATCGCGATCTGCACAGAATGATTCACGGCGTTTATCGCATTATAGGTGGGAGCGGAGTGACGTCACTTCCCCTTAGCAATGCGTCCAGTGAGCCGCGCCGATGAAAACAAAGCGCGAATCAGCTGGGAGCCTCCGTGGCCCAGTGGTAGGCATCGTGCACTGTCCACTGAAAGCTGCGAGTTCAAACCCCGGTCGGGGTAGTGAATTTTCTCAAGGTGTAAAAACCTGGCTCTCAACATTGGAGACTGTGAATCTCCCAGGGCTCAGATAACCACGTAATATGGTGGTCCCGTCTCCAGAAATACTAGCCAATGGGGACGTAAAAGAACCACTGAGGGCGCAAAGGAACTCTGGCTGTGACCAGCCTCAGTGCCATTTGGCTAAAGGCTGACTACCTGAACTGACTACTGAATAAAAAGAAGAATAAGAAGAAGGAATAAGAATTAGAAAAAGAAATAAGAATAAGAAATAAGAAGAAAGAATAAGAATAAGAAATAAAGAAGGACTAAAAAGAAGGAATAAGAATAAGAAATAAGAAGAATGAATAAAAATAAGAAGGAATAAGAATAAGAAGAAATAAGAATAAGTATAAATTCCCTGCACATTCCAAAGAGAGAATAAACGCCTTGTGAAATACAAGAGAGGGACCCCAAGATACAAGATAGGCCCTACAAGCAACCAGGCATTTCGGTTCGACGGTGTCAGGCTCCTACGCCGTGTAACAGTCGTAAAGCCTGGTCGGTTTATCAGTGGTGCAACCTTGGAATAAACTGACAAAAAGTGCAGTCGCAGCTACCACGACTAATGAATTTAAGGCCAGAATCGACCGATCCAGGAAATCGCAAGATATGGGTGCACATTAGGCTAGGCCTATTACAACCCATTATCCTTAAAACTAGCTCTAGTACTATAGCCCGCGTACATTGACTGCCGCAAGGCTATAGAACATTTTCAGCTAGATTTCGCTGCTGCAACAGTTCCCAAAGTTCCCACAAAAAATTGCTTTACAAAACGCAAAATGATCGAGCTTTTTAACACTTATCTATCTACGTGGACATCTCACCTATCTTTTTGAACACTTTCCACAACTTTACACCATGTATTTATGCCTTTAATAGCTTTATTCCTCACAAGTCAGCACTACTGGCTGTACAGTTTGAAATATTGTGCCGTTCGAACGCGTGACGTCACCGGATATGTAGGCAAAACACATGGCAGCTATGGTGCATGTATATACAATACCGGTGACGTCACCCGTTCGCACGCCACAATATTTCAAACTGTACAGCCAGTAGTGCTGACTTGTGAGGAATAAAGCTATTAAAGGCATAAATACATGGTGTAAAGTTGTGGAAAGTGTTCAAAAAGATAGGTGAGATGTCCACGTAGATAGATAAGTGTTAAAAAGCTCGATCATTTTGCGTTTTGTAAAGCAATTTTTTGTGGGAACTTTGGGAACTGTTGCAGCAGCGAAATCTAGCTGAAAATGTTCTATAGCCCTCCGGCAGTAAATGTACGCGGGCTATAGTGCTAGAGCTACCTTAAAACTAACTAACTATCTAACAAAGCGCCCACCAACCTTGCAATCTGTCGGTCCCCCGTGACCCCGGCCTCCTCTGTCACCTCTGTCACCTCTGTCACCTCTGTCACCTCTGTAAGACATTGAGGCTGTGCCCTGTAACAAACTTGAAGCACAAAGTCTAAGAGTAAGAACAATTTACAATAATAATGTTGAGATAATCAAAACTGATGCGACTCAGTAAAAATTTGACAACCGATCGACGTAAAGCTTGTTCGTGCAATAAAATGGCTGTCGAAACAAATAGACGATTTTAGCGCCATCTACACTCATAACTGTTAGGACAAAGCATTATTGAAAGGATAGGGGTGTCAGAATGTAGAGTTATACACAAACAATGCAAAATCATTCTAACCTATAGTCAAGTACTTTAAAAATGAGAAATTTTCATTATAATACAGAACTTTTTATAGATCACTGTTTAAATGTATTCGTGTACAAGTATTTTCATCTCACCCACGTCTTGCTGACCCCTTTTTTCCCGTGGCCATCTTGAATGCAGAGTCAGACACGCTCCCGGTGACGTTGAGAAGAAAGCTTTCTGGCTTGTGTGTTCCTAGTGACAGTAGTGTTAGTTTATGGTTTACGTTAAAAGTAAAAAAGAAACGCAGTATTTTGTAAGTTTTTTTTATCAAACATGCAAGAGTTTTAACGTATGTGACAGTTGAGTAGCTTTATAACTGTAGCCCTTCGCTCGGCCACATGGCACATGCCTGTTGCGGAGTAACTGCCAGTCCCTCGGGCTCATGACATATCACATATTATGATATAATAACAATATTAATAATATTTATTTATTTATAAATATTTTCTCGTGTTACATTGTATTTCTTTTTGCAGATGACATTGTAATAATATACTGGTACTAGCCATAAAAGACCTCATCCCAACTCAAGAATGTCTAACCGAGGCGGCGGTGGACCGTTAGATTGCAAGGTAGGCCTAGGTGCCAATGGCAATGGCAATGCCAATGGTGTTGACTGTTGTTGATTTTGTTGTACTACTACTTGTAGTTGTAGCGATTGAAATTTGTAAGAATGGAGATGCTATAAAATGTTAACAACTCAAGCCGGCTAGAGATACGTACATTAAGCATCATACATACCGTATTGCAGACAGGGTCAGCCACGATACCATGGAGCTTAGCAAATTCATCACAGATAATCTACAGCACAGGTCGAGGTCCCAAACGTCAAACAAATAATTAGGGTCGGGGCAAAAAAACGAGGATGGGGCTTTTCGGCCCATGAAAGCGACCTTCGAGGAGAAGGGGGATCCCTCCACACTAATGCAGGCACTAAGTCTAAAAAAACTAGACATTTCAACAAAAAAGAAGTTGACGATTCACTTGGACCCAGACCTCACCCCAATGCAATGCGAAGAGGGAAAAATTCGCAGAGCTATGAGAGCTCAACGACAGGCAGAATTGGAAAAAACCGGCATCAAAAATTTCAAGTGGATCATACTCGGAGATACCTTGAGAAAAGTGTGAATCCCCCAGGAAAATCAATAAGACCACACACTTACGAAAAAATCAAGCAAATTGACAAACTAGGCATAATAAAAAAATAATGGATTGGAACATTTATAGAACTACACATGGCTTAAAGTATTTCTACAGCAACATTGATATGCTCTCCAACAAAAAATCTGAAATTCTTGCCATGGTTGATGTAACTTCTCCTGATATTATAATTTATAGGCCGAAATAAAAATTAAAAATACAGATGACAACTCGTTAGCGCTTACTGAGCTAGTAATCCCAGGATACGAATGCTGGCCTGATATCATTGGTAACCCGGGCAGAGGTGTAGTCATGTGGACGAAATGCAGTCTGGACGTTACACAGATCGATGGTTCAATCAAGGTGCATGACAGTATCCTATGCGAAATCCGTCTCCGCAAGAAGGACAAGCTCTTGGTAGGCTGCATATATGCTGACTAGCTATAAAATGAGAGGGGAAGCCAACACAGTGTCGGTTCTGGAATTCATTGAGCAACAGCAAGATCTTGGTATTATCACAGACAAACGCCTCTCCTTCGAAGACCATATAAACACACGAAAGTGTGCGCAGCGAAGTGCATAGTTGGCATAATCATGCGCACCTTCCATTACATGTCAAAAGATATTTTTAGATTACTGTTCAAATCCATGGTAAGACCCATAATTGAATACGGTAACACGGTATGGGCCCCATTATCAGACGAGATCGGCCTCACTAAGAAAATCGAGAGCGTACAACGAAATGCCACCAAACGAGTACCCGGGTTAACTAATCTGCTGTATGATGAAAGGCTACGCCTGTTAAAATTACCATCACTTTTATACAGAAGAAGACGGGGTGACATGATCGAGGTTTGGAAGCGATTTTGGATTACATGGAAAATACGACGACCAATACGCGTGGCTAAAACTAGATAGCAACACACTGTCTTAGATACAATAGCCTTAAACTGTATTTAAACGGCAAGTAGATCATACACTCAAAAAGAAATCATTTCGCTTTAGAACCGTCAGCGATTGGAATTCCCTGCCCGAAGAAATTGTCATATCAAAAACGATAAATGAATTCAAAAACAAAATTGACAGGCACTGGTCCCACCTGCAATATGACTACCTTAATCACATAGTAATGATGTAATGATCTGATCACATGATGTAATGTATACAATGGGAATTTACCTTCCAACGTATACTCATAATACCTACAATACCACGACCACTCGCAATGATGTTTAGAATGACTTAACATCGCGAGGGACTATGAGTAAAATTGAGGCTGGATGTATTAATTAGACCGGATACAGGCCCTTGGGCCTATTCTTGTAAACCGCTATTCTATTCTACAGCAAGACCGGCGACATGTCTGTATTTGTCATAAGTTTGTATTTCAGCGCCAGAATGTTTTGTTTTTGACGTTTTTATTTGTTCTTCTAACTCTCTAAGTCTAAGCAGTATAGTCTGAGACCAGCAATTGTTATAATTATATCAGGAGTGAATAATAATATTAAAGCAGTATGACTCACTCGAAACACAAGAAATTCAACATTTCCATTCCCAAATTTACCTATGATTTATTCCAAAATCCAAAAAAAATGACATCAGAACTAGCACTAACATCCAATTTGCCCGTCACACTTTACTTTGTATCGGTATCTCTTCTAATTGTGTAGTTATAGCTTCGAACGTCAGACATGATTTTAGTCATTGACACGGTAAAGTGGCTAATGTTCCCACGTAATAGCGCGAACAAGAGACAGCTCGCGGGGATAACGCTATTGGCAGGGTTCGGCAGGGATTTGCAACTCACAAATTCTCGCGAGATCACATTGTAAAAACTGCCAAAATGTCACCAAAACGAAAGCTTCTCATTATGGATAATTTCATATAACTGTATGGCATATATGACATCTGTTTATCTGCACTCCCAGCGGTCAGAGCCCGCTACTAATTTGCGAGTCGCAAATCCCTGCCGAGCTCTGCCAATGGGTGTTGCAGAGCAAGCTGCCTCCTGTTGACGCTATTGCAGGTGAATGTTGGCCACTTTACGGTGTCACTGATTAAAACCATGTCTGACGTTCGGAGCAATAACGATACAGAGTAAAGTGTGTGGGAAATTTGGATGTACAGCACTAGTTCTATGGTCAGGTTAGTTGGGTTTTGCGTAATAAATTGTAGTAAATTTTGGGCACAGAAATGTTGAATTTCTTGTGTTTCGAACGAGTCATACTCTATTATTATTCACTTCTGATTATATATTATCAAGAGTGTATGAAGAAGGAGAGCGTACAACGGTGAAATGCTGAAACCATGTTGCAGTATTAGTCGAATTAATAAACATTCCCCGTTTTATTTTGACGATTCTTTGCAGTATTAATAATTATTGATCAGCTGTCCTACCTTGTTAATATAAAACAAACCGCATGTCCCTACGATGCCTCTACGCTGAAATAATGAGCGGTGAAAATCTGGTATTTTCGCCGAAAACCGACTCAAGATCAGTTTTACTGCGCCTGTCTCTCGTTTTGTGGACTGTATGTTGCTTCCGGTCGCCGCTGTGTAGCGCTGACTCGATACGTTATTACTACAGTGTTACTACATCCAGCGTAAGGGGCGGGTCATCGCCACAAAGAATCGTCAAAATAAAATGGGCAAAGTTTATTAATTCGATTAATACTGCAGCATGGTTTCAGCATTTCACCGTTGTACGCTCTCCTTCTTAATACGTTTGGAAAAATTAAAGACGGTTTACGTAGGTAAGGTAACGTGTATGACTACTGCATTATACATAGTCAATTCCCCCTCCCTCACTGTACTCGCTCATGAATCGCTATGATATATGTAACTAAATTGTATTAAAAAGGAAACCATTAATAAGTTGTTAATACTGATATACTGATATTTGGGTATTTCATTGTATGCGTCCAGGTTTATGTGGGCGATCTAGGGAGTGGTGCTACGAAGCACGACTTGGAGCAGGCGTTTGGCTATTACGGGCCGCTGCGTAATGTCTGGGTGGCTCGCAATCCTCCAGGATTCGCCTTTGTGGAATTTGAGGACAATCGAGATGCTGAGGATGCCGTCAGGGGCCTGGATGGACGGTAACGACTACTTTTATTCTGCTAAAAAATATTAAGATAATAGTCTTCGAGTTGCAAAACGACGATCAGGGTTAGACACTAACCATTTTAGTTCACTAGTCCACAGGACTAGTAAAAGAAAAAATGTACTAGTCCTTCCAAGATTCTACTAGTCCTGCCGAAGGACTCTTACTAGGCGCAAAGCGACGAGCATTGTGATTTGTGGGGAGGTAGGTGGGGTAGGAGGGTGGAGCCCCCCTTCTGCTAGGGGGTACAGGGGGTCTCTCCCAGGGTACAAGGGGTGTCCCCCAGAAAGTTTTGTAAAAGACATTCAATTGTATAAAATACATGTAACTTTGATATGGATCATAAGATTAAAATTTAAATTAAATAAAATTTAAATTCGAAAATAAAATTTCGGCCTACTTTGATGAGAAATCTGTGGATCCGTCACTTATCACAGAAAGGAATTTGGCCTCATTTATAGCTACAAACTGTTCCCGGCGCCTTGTATCGGCTATCGCCGTAATGAACCTCTGGCAGGCCTTGTCGGTGAGGTAAGTGCTGCCGACATCTAACCCCTTGGCCTTGTCAAGCTGGCACAGCTTGACGTAATCGGTCTAGGCCCTGCCGTTTTTTCCAATAGCATGTGCATTTTTAATGGGGTCGCGAATTTTATAATCGGCGTGGTCATTATGATGTGCGCGGCGTTGGCCAGTTCGTATCATGACATAAACAATGGCGTCTAGTTAGAAGGGAAAAGGTAAATGAATGAAATCAGGCGTGTTGCAAGAGTAGTGAGTGCAAAGACATCTGGAGGAAAGCTGCTCTGGTCACGTACGTGCGTGGTTTCGTGGAACTTAGCACACCGCGTGCGTGGGTGCTGCTGCACGTACCGTGCGCGCGTGCGTGTTCACTATGCGGTGCGCGTGTGCACTAAACGTGCGTGCGTGATATGCACGGTCACGTGTGTGCACGTTAACGTTGCGTCGTTGACATAGGCACGTACAGTGCACGTGTGTGCAGTGGTGTGCAGTTACTGTGCGGGCTCGTGCGCTGAAGTGCCACGATGACACGTGCGTGGTGTGCGTGACGCTTGTAGTTGTGTGCAGTGCGGTGTCACGTTACAGTGGGCGGAGTACGTGTCACCGTCAGTGCGTGCGTATGCCACGTACCGTGCTGCGTTTATGCACGTACACGTGGTAGCGTATGCCGTTACTAGCGTGCGTGCGTATGCAGCGTACATGTGCGTGGCGCGCGTGTCGTGTGTTGTGTATCGTAGTGTGACCAATAACGTGCCTGCGGTGCGTCGTGGCATCGTTACAGGGAAGTGCGTACGTGGGAGCTTACACGTGCCAGTGTGCGTGCGGTGCGTGTGCACGTAAGTCGTGAGTGCGGGTGCGATGAGGAACTTTGCGCGTGCGTTGGTTGCACGCGTTTAACGCTGCGGCTGGTGGCGTACCTGTGCACGTCACGTTAGCGGCAGGTGCGTGGGTGGTGTTGCCGTACACCGTGCGGTGCGTGTGGACGCTCACACGTGTGTGCGTGGTGATGGCGTGTTGTGCACGTACAGTGTGGTGCGGTGCGATGTGCACGTACATCAGCTTGACGGGTGGGTGCTGCCAGTTTACTAACCTCTTTCGTATTCGCCCCACACACGTTCAATCTCAGTTTATCGCAAGGTCACTTGGCCGACCCAGATTCGTGCAGGCAATGGTCCTGTGCTTTGTTTTTGTAGAATCTTTTCTGTGGCCCCTCGGAAGCTATCAGTGCGCGATTAAACAGTTTCAAAGATAGGTTTTGATGAGTACCGGTGAAAGAAATACTACAGAGGCCCTTTACAGGCCGTGCAACAGGGTCTACTTTGGCCTGTGGTACAGTTACTCATAACGGCGTATGACGATTTCACGCTGGACTGGAACGCACGCATCATTGTTCGTTACTCTATGCATAGAACGTGGCATCCTTATTTTCTCTCCTGCAGGATTTACGTTTTGGAAGGGTGGAGGGGAGGCGTCAAATTTGCCACATAACAACTTGATGTTGAGAGTATATACTTATTGTGATAAATTCTGGTATCTATATTGGTTGGCACTCTATTTGTATCACTGCTTCAAGTACACACGCATGCGATGTGGTTGCGATGTAAATTACCTTGCTATGAGGAGCGTACTAACTGAGTTGTTGCGTAGTCATGTTCTCAATCGACGTTCTGTTCTATGTCAACAGCTGTCAAGCGATCGATCCATAGACTGGGTTCGTGGTCCCATTGTTTTTAACAATGTTTGTACTGCCGTAGTAGGGTCTAGCATGCTTAGAGGGGAAACTTGTTAATGGGGACGAGTTATATATAGCTCTTTGGATCTTGGGTGAGAGACGCTGCCGCCGGTACAATCGATGGGAAATTGGGACGGTGAGGGACTGGGAAATATAACTAGTCCCGCCGGACTAACTGCTATGGGAATCTACTAGTCCTTCTGATTTTTTACTAGTCTCGGACTAACGGACTAGCGTTAGTGTCGAACCCTGACGATATAATAAGCGATTTTAATACCATCTGTATCGATTCGTGGCCGATCTTCTAGAATTTTTGTTGCTCGACTTTATGATAATCGCAAGTGCAAAATCGCAGTGACGCTTGCTTGTTTTCATTGCAGCTCTCTCTGTGGGGCGCGCATCCGTGCTGAGATGTCGACCGGACGAAGCCGCAGTAGGTTCCGGGGGCCGCCACCGCGTGGCCGTGTCTTCAACCCGGATGATCGCTGCTATGAGTGTGGACAGAGGGGGCACTATGCTTACGACTGCTCGCGCCGTGCTGGCGGCGGCGGCGGTGGTGGCGGCGGAGGCGGAGGCGGAGGCGGAGGCAGACGCAGATCCAGGTCCCGATCAAGGTAGTTGCTGTTACGCAAACGAGATAGCATATATGTCTCGATTCACGGTGTCGGAATCGTAGTTTCTTTGTTGTGCCGGGGGCGGAATCGCTGACGAATTGCAAATTTTTTTTGCAGTTGTTAAATTCATCTCGAGATTTCTTTTTTGAAAATTTGCAGACGACTTTCGGGAACCGTTGACCATTGCGTGTGTGTATATTGTTGTTGGCTGATGTTACAGGCTCGTTCGTTGACACACTTGATACACATGAATGTACACACGAACGAAACATCGTTGTTGGTAACGACGGCCGAGAGCAGCACCGCACGCTCGCCGCGACGCACCCGCGTGTCAGTCTACTGCAACTGCAACTTCGCAGCTATATCTGTAACGGCGCACGCCTCCCGTCACCTAGAATCCTCGCTCTCCCCCGCGGATGTTCTACCGGCCTTCGTGGGGCGTCGTCGCTACTCCGTCGTCGCCGGCGGACGACACGCCTCGCGCGGCCTAGCCGACCCGTTGATCCGTCGCTCGTCCTCACCCGATCAGAAAACGCCCACACGTCCACGCTCGCCCTCCGCCCGGTGCGGCGGAGCGCGGAGGTCGGCCGAAACTCGGCAAATTCAGCGTTCAGCGCGGTCGACGTAAGTTCATCCGTCGGCATAAGTTCATCCGTCGGTCGTCGGGCAGCGCAGCGTCGGCGGCGGCGGCGTAGTCGAACTACTCACCCGTCGGCTGTCGATTGCGAGGTGATATACGTTCAGCCGTACTTGTGGCGTTTCGGGTACAGTATCGTCGCATTGCATTCACAGTTTCTAGGTTTGGCTGTTCTGTTTACGCGTTTCGCTGTACCGTCGCAACCATGATTGCTGAAGTTTTTTTCCTCTTTAGATTTTAGGTAACGCGGTGGTTGGCAGGCGACGGTTTTGAACTCAGAATGTTTGCGATAAGCGCATGCACACGGTCGTTGGCATGGCGACGACACTCATCTTGATTCTTAGGCGGCGGAGTCGGGGGAGCGATCGCTTGCGTGGCCGAGCGTGCACAAGGTTTTGGGCGAGTTCACTGTCATAAGCGAGCTGGTGACGACGCGCACCTGTGTTGTCTTGCAGGGACCGTAGGAGTCGTAGCAGGAGCAGGAGTCACAGCCGTAGTCGTGGCGACCGCCGATCCCGCAGTCGTAGTCGCAGCCACAGCCGCGGACACAGCAAGCGCTCACCCAGCCGCAGCCGCAGCCGCAGCAGGTAACCGTGGTGGCAAATGTAGTGGCGCGGGGAGGGAGAGGATCGATGCAACCAACCAAGAGTTGGGTGCAGAGTGCGATTTGGGTTCCGTCTCCGAAAGTGGAAACTGCGAATTAAATTGAAATTGCAAGTCGCGAGTGAAGCTTCGTCGTCGAGATTGGAGCCCGTGTCGCTGTGAGAGGGCACCACTGTAGCACTCGCCACTCGTTTGTCGTTTCAGGAGTGTTTCGCCGCGCAAGTCTCGTTCGCGGTCTGCACCCAGGAACGAAAAGGACTAACAGCAAGGACTAACTAGCAGGCGCGGCGGCCGCACTTCACGGGACCATAGTCGCGGCTAGGTCGTGTGACCGACCCGACCCGATCACACCTGCCCTCTGAATCCTGTTCGTCGTCGCAAACGATGCAGAGGTGCCTATCCCCTCATGGGTTTATTCTTGTACTTCTCTCTCTCTCTCTCTCTCGTGTGCGTGCTCTTTTTCTCTCTCTCTCTCTCTCTGCCATTCACACCAGAGAGAAGGCTGTGTCTGTTTAAGTCATGACCCTCGTCAATGTATCGTGACTCGCATTCCCCACTAATTGGCGGCCACTTGTTTCATCACTTGGACGCATCGGCGGAATACCGCGCGAGCTTATCGTTCATTGTCGCTGCTGTTTCGGGTTCTCGTCAGCAGTTCTTTTATCGCGTACTAGATTTTCGCGACATAGCAGTTGACGCTTGAGGAGTAACTGCTATTCTCAGTTAGTAGTTTGCGGCTATAATAAGTTTAACGTGTGTATTGATTCAATGTGATCGGAATCATTGTGAGAATTGGTGGGCACCGTGTTGATTCGACATAATGCACTGCAACCCAGAGATTGCCGATTTTGGGAAAAAACGTTTGTAGGAGTTAATAGACATGTAGTGTTAGCAGATGTCCACATTGCAAGCTTATATCTAGTGAAAGCTCGTGGCAGTCTTTGTAGTTACGTAGTGGCAGTCGAGTGTGCGTGAGTGTGGTTGAGTGTGTGTGAATAGTTTGTGGGACCAAGTGTACAGTGCAGAAATCGGGGCTTTTAGAATAGAAGATGGGTAAAGGATCAAGACGTCGGGAAGAAATCGATTCGCGGGCGTGTAATAACGTTGACGTGCGCGGTCAACGATGAATCCTCTAACATAAAGTTAGTTCAAATTTTTCCAGACAATTCTAGTTGCTGCCCGGGCGTATGCTTCCCTGACATCACAGGAAGTGATGACGTTTGTGCACACCGCGACTGCAACGACATTGGCTTTCCGTCTGTAATTCCTGTTTTGATGGTAGTGTGTGCGCAGGGTTGACATCTGAGACCATCACTTCCTTTTAGTTTAAAGTCGTCACGCGTAACATTTTAATCGGAAGGTTTCCACGCAGGTCGCACTAACTAGTAGAGGAAGATGAGTGATTTAATGTCGGGAAAAGAAGCAGGTATAGGACGAATGTCTCACTTTGTTTTTTCGATTTATGAATGGATCGCCATGTATAGTTTTTAACAGACCTTACAACCATCACGTGTAACCAATTTTCTATCCAATAAATGTATGTATTCAGTCGTATATCCTGAGTGCAACGAGTGTTAATTCTTTCACGTTCTATTGAATGTAATAAACAGTGAAATCGTCTACGAATATTATAGCTTGTGTTGTGACATATATGACCCGATTTACATCATATAAACTTGAATCGTATCACATTGATTTTACATATAATAGGTACAACAACACCCAGGACAAGAATGTTGCAATATTTGTTGCAGTCAATCTGCAATATTATAAGTCCTCTGATTTTGCAGTGGTCTTCCACACACAAGAATGTAGATGCTTAATTGGCCCTCAATATACCTTACTCATTAGCAGATAAACTAATTTTGCCGTCTCCCTCCTATGTACTAGTTATATGTTTTACAGGGGATCGAGACCCAGACCCGTATTGCAAGTTGCAAAACTTCTGGGTTTTTTATGATGATCTCGTTGAAGTGTTCTTTCTCATATCGATTATTTTTAAACGATCATGAGCATATAAATATTCCAGTCAAGATGCTCTTATCAATCGTATACTACATGTACTATGAAATATACTAATTGAGCTAGGACGTGTCTGTGTATATTTTTATGATCAAATAATAAGTTCCATTTCAACCCAAAATTGTATCCATTACCTGCCAAAATAAATGTTAATTTTCTTCGGCCGAGTTTATGCACTCAAAATGTACAGGGGCAGGCGGGCCCAGGACAGAAGTGCATAGTAAAATCCGATCTAAAATGTACATAGGAATGGCGCTCGCATCGTTGGCGGCATGTTGAAAGCCAAGATCTTCGGTCTATTTTATGCGCTCATGCAGGATGGACAGGGGCAGGCCCGCGACAAATGTGCATGGTCCGTTTTCGTTCAAATTATTATGCTTCCTCTGTAATTTTCATGGTCTTTCTGTTGTAGATATTTTTTCTGAAAACTCACAAATTCGATCCGCAGATTTCCTTAAAAATAACGTTTTTTTAAATTCCGTAAAGGTCGAAATTCTCCCCGTAAAAGTGAATTTTCCTAATTAAAAAAAAAAAAACCTAAATTGTACGCACTGTCACAGGCATAGTTTAGTTACGCGCTCCTCCTCCCCTCTTCCTCTTACTCTTGCTCCTCTTATTCCTGCTCTTACTACTCTTCTTCCTCCTCCTACTCCTGCTCCTCCTACTCTTCTTCCTTCTCGAACTATAGAGGAGAGCTCGCAATCTGCTTCTTTATGCTCACATATTGCTTCTTCGAGTGTCTTCCTCGCCATTCCTCTGCCTATATAACCTTCTTACTATAGTCTAGTGACTTTATCATAACTATAACCGTAGTGTGCAGAATGTCTATATGTGCTGCAGGCCCGTAGCCAGCTTTATATTGGGGGGGGGGGTTCGTTTTTAAATGTTTGGCAATTTGTGAGGGCGCGAAGCGACCGAGCAGGGGGAGGGTGTGTCCCCCCCTCCCACGCGATGGAGATTTTGCAATTATTACACTAAAATGGAGTGATTTTTTTTGTGCTCGTTTGGGGGTTCGTGCGAACCCCCCCCGAACCCCCCGAACCCCCCCCCCTACGGCTCGGGTCTGCTGCTATATGTGCTGCTATATCTGATAGCTTTGCGATCAGCCTCCGGCTACATGATACGACAAACATATATATTTCTACAATATCGTATCTGACGTTATTTTTTGATATATCATTATATATAGTATGCACACATCTCTACAGTATTGCAATGAGCGAATCTTTACACTGTTCTAATGTAAGGTCAACTATTTACAATATTGTAATTGCATGTGCAGGCCCGTAGCCAGCTTTATATTGGGGGGGGTTTCGTTTTCAATGTGGGAATTTTTTTGCTCGGGGGGGGGTGTTCTGTTCGAACCCAAACCGAACCCGCCCCTGGCACGCGGCCTGGCAATGTGGTGAACGCATCTTTAACAATTTTTATTGTCTATGAGGGGGAAACGGGGGGGGGGGTACATTCCCACTTTCCCAGCAAAAAAACACCCCATATCCCAGTTCCCAGTAAAATAAAATCCCAATTCCCAGTTCCCAGGAAATTATGTAGACATGTTTCAGGAAATTCAGTAGTTTAGGTTTTCAAACACTATAAATATAAATAAATACTAATATTTACATACTATTATTTATCTGGGCATAATTAATAAATAAATAAAAATAAAAATTTAAATAAATATTAGCGCAGAAATTGAAAATCCCGACGAATTGACACAATTTCCCCAGATCCCAGACAATTTTAGAGGGTCTTTCTGACGACTTCTGTTCCCGAATCACGGAAAATTTATCTGACATTTCCTATTTCCCAGGTAATTAAAATGGCCAATCCCGCGTCCCGAAAATACCCGTTCCCCCCCTCTTGTATGAATACTTATTTGACTCATTATTTGCTATTCAGGATTTTTCATGGACAGATAGCCCAGAATTTAAATGGTTTTATATTAATCCAATACTGTTTTTTTCTTAAAGCATGGTACCTATAATGTGGAAAAATAATAAGCATAAGATAACTTTTCAAAAATTTATTACAAAATCAACGGTATGAAATGGCATACTCAAACTCACGTAACGGGACAGACAATTTCTGGTGGTGTCTTTGAAGTTGTACATTAGAATCAAAGACTTGTTATATCCTCTTAAATGTTACACAAAAACTTCATAGACTTCTCAAATACCAGAAATACTAATAATTTTATATGTTGAGTTAATAAAATGGTTCATTATTAATTTATTAGTACCTTAGTGGTAGACCTTAGTTTCTATGAAGAAAGTGTGACATGTCCATCATTAAGTTTCCTTTATACAATATAAAATTAGATATATTGCAGTTTTCTTACAGTTGCTGTTCTTTAAGCTTATTTTCAAAACAAATTACTTACTTTCAAACTCATTTAAACGAAGAAATACATTTTTAAAGGTACCTTTCAGTATAGTTCTTGTCACGTAACAGGACAGACAATTTCTGCCGGTGTCTTTAAAGTTGTGTATTAGAATCGAAGACTTGCTACATCCTCTTAAATGTTGCACAAAAACTTCATAGACTTCTCAAATACCAGAAATACCATATTGTATGTTTCACATATATTCTGAGTTAATAAAATGGTGTCTGTCCATGCAGGGCCGGCGGAAGCAAATACACATTGGTCAGGCCATTTAGCATCAATAACAGATGTCGACGAATATGGGGCCGAATATGGGGCGCCAAGTGTCGCATGACTGATTTCGTTACGAAATCATTGATTTCGTAACGAAATCAAGTCTACAAAGTGATTTCGTTTACGAAATCAAGACCTGCGAGCCATTCGTAGCGAAAACCAGCTACGGGCGCGCATTTCCGTTACTAAATCATCACACTTGAGGCGCCGGCGCGCAAAATGTCCACGACTATTCAGTTACAGATCGAATCATACGATTTCGTAAACCGAAATCAAGTCTACAAATCAGTTCGATTACAAATCACACTACACTGAGAGTATTTTCGCTGACGAAATCAGCTACTGCGAGTCATTTAGTGACAAATACAGCTACGGAGTATTTCGTACGAAATCCATGCGAACACTTGGCGCGCCGGCTGCAAGTAGATACATTGACTTGATTTCGTTACCGAAATCAGCACTGCCGAGTATTTCGTAACCGAAATATGCTCACTTTCGCGCCGGCGCCGCCAATGTTGAGATCGTGCCATGACTGATTTTCGATTTACGAAAATCATGCGATTCCATTACAAATCATGCTACACTTGGCGTGTGGGGCCAAGTGATCGCATGATTATTTCGTACGAAATCATGATTCGCGAAACGCACAATCAAGTTCTACAAAGTGATTTCGTTACAAATCAAAGTCCTACAAGAGTACATTCGCTTACGAAACCAACTACTGCGTGATTTCGTGACATATCAGATACTGCAATCGAGTGATCGTACGAAATCATGCCTCACTGCGTGGGCGCGCAAGGTGGATCGGGGTGCGGCATGGACTGATTTCGTTACGAAGATCTGAAGGTTTACTAAGTAATTCCGTTACGAAGAGTTCAAAGTCATACAAAATATTAATCAGTGTAAATATTTTAGCGTTATATTATTATTTAATTGCGAAAAAATAGTAATGGATAAAATATTCATAGATGGCTGGTTGCATGGATGTGGGCTAGACTTTGGTACCCGCGTCCCACTCTCGGCCGTAGTGACTCGATGGCTTGTTACCTGGAGGGTACGTTCTCAATTCTCAGGTAGCGGCGATCGCCGCACAGACTAGGCCAGAAATTTCGTCAAGTGATTACTACTAACAGACATTGAGAGCGAGGCGACTTAGAGTGGGAAAAAATTTCTGTGACAAATAATTAAAAAAAAAGATTTGTTTTTGCTTTGGGAGCGGGGGGGTTTCGTGTCGTATCATATATTCCCCAGGCACCAACCCGCACCTCCTGTCATGGCAAATTCAGGGCCTTGTTGCATATTTGTACGTTTTTGTGTATACTATAACCGAATTCATTGCGACGCTAATTTCTTGCGCGGATGGTGTTTTGTCATCGACCAGTGTGACTCATTCGTAGTGAAGTCTTCAGGCATAGAACGTGGCTGATACGCATATTTTCGCCAAAGCGATGCTCATTGGCTGACAGGTCAAGTAGCATGGTTACGGCTAATGAGCAGGCGTGGAGATTAGACGAGTGTGGCTCTGTGCGACGAGAGTAAAAGAAAAGCTGGGCTCCATATGGTCGAAGTAATATCGAACAAAGAAGAGTTTGAAAGAGCAAGAACTGTTTCATGGCTTGCACAAACCAGCCACTGAGGGACAGAAAGTGTGTGTGAATAACATGAAGACGAATGTGGGTCTAGACTTTTCCGAGAAGGAGTAGGGAGAAGCTGGGAGAAGAGGAGGGCGGAAGCTCCAAAACTGTAGCTGCGTCCGGTCGCATATGAAACGAATATATAGAGATAAAGAGGATAGGTATGCATATTAGGAAGAATGTCGAGAGAAGTACTGATTATAGTATGATGTAGATAATGATATGAGAGGATGAGAATGAGCGGTAAGAGAAGAGAGTGTATTGTGGTCATAGCGGAGGAGGGGTAATTGACGCGCCAAGTAACAAAAATCTGATCACGAGCAGCAACGTCGAAGGTGTAGTTACAACGCATTAGGAGCGCACTGGTAGTGAATACCGCTGTTTGATTGAAGGAACGAACCACGTGAGGGGAGAAGCGTTTATAAAGAAGAGAACGCCACTGTTCAAGCTTCAGGGTGCAAGGCAGAAGGGAAAGTAGCAGACATAAAGGGAACACTGGATCACGAGCGGCCTAGAGAGATTCCCACTAGCAGAAGAAAGAAGAACTAGTCACAGTATAAGTANGGGACACGTACATGGGCGTACCGTCACCTGCCGTATTTTCGTACCTTATCTGCCGTTCTCCCACTATCTTTCTCTCTTTCTCGCACTCCCCGCAGTCTGTCTCTCTCTCTCTCTCGCTCTCGCTCGCTCTGCCGCCACGGGTTATGTGCATATATATATTTGTGTGTGAGTCTTGCGGCGTGTTGTAGGATTAGCTACGTGTAAAAACTCCCACGGCGACGCCAGCACGTGCTCGCACGACGTGCCGTCGCCACGGGCAGCGCGGGGTCAAGAGGACATATCAAATTCCATATTGCATATCGCTTGCGATCTTACTATCCGAACTCGAAGGAATTCTCAGTGTAAACATCCATCAATCAGTCAGGCCTGCGGAGAACTAAGATGGCTGGTGGCCCACGTCACGACTCCAGCTAGACTCGTACGGGCCTTAACTCGGCCAAGTATCTTTCGCTAGACTAAAGTTATAGTTAGTGGAGCGTGTCAAACTCTCCACCGCGGGGCAGTCTAAGGAAAATTCTCGGGAAAATCCCTCGAAGAGAGCCTCGTCGCGCCATCTATGGGACGCGATATGTACGAGAATAAGTTCAGGGCGTTAAATTAAATAAATTAGAAATCGCTTTTATAGACGAAAACGTAACGCGCGAACCAAAAAAATTAGCAATTACGACCATTGGATTTATTCTCGCCCTACGTGCAGAGTCGAAAGGCTTCTGCAATCGCCAGAACTGCTCAATTGACCGATTCTCGGGCTTTCTGTATTACCCAGAGGGCTTTGAGTAGTTAGTTCTACATAGAGGGCAGCGAGTTGGATGAAAAGGCGCCACCAGGTGGCGCTGTTCGCACTTCGCGTATATCCGGGCTGCAGATCGTCAAGACGGTACATCGCCGTTACTCACTTTACTGCTGCTGAAGGCAGTAATCTGTGTGACTGAGTGTGAGATGCCAATTCCCGTTGATGCAGGGTTTCATCAAATTTGTGGTTCAAGGATAGAGAACATGGGTCCCAATAAAACCAATGTCATTTACATCAATATAAATATAATATTATATCAATATAATAGGTTAGGTTTATGGTTAGGGTTATTGTTACTGTTAGGGTTAGGCACATTGATTTTATTGGTACCCATGTACTCTATCATTGGGCCAAATTTGTTATGCCCGCTTTACTGACAAGCAAAGGATGGAGAGGGTGGCAAACAATATGAAAAAAAGAGAGCAACTTGGGGTAAGTAACAAGTTCAGTTATATTTTAAAATATTAATATAATTTTGGCCTAAAAATGTAAAATAGTAAACCTAATCATGTCTGAGTCTGACTAACTAAAGTAAAGATTTAAGTTAACTTAGTCTTTTGTTAGACCCTATCCCAATACTCGTAGATCGAAGTCTAAATTTTTAAGTTACTCAGTAGGCCTAT